CGGGCTGTAAGTGATCCAATTGTGTACCAGGTGCACTATTCTTGTCGGGCTGTAAGTGATCCGATTGTGTACCAGGTGCACTATTCTTGTCGGGCTCTAATTGATGTATGGACTCATTGTTTGTAGACCTCAAGTTAAGCCACACAAGACTTATTCTTGCATGACATCGCATGAAAATCTTTAGAGTCTCGGTTGCACAAAAACCACAAAACATATTATCAACTCGCTTGAAGATCAAAAAGTTGATGGTCCCTCAAACACAAATTCTTGTTAAAAAAATAACTTTTGGTGGAAGGAAAAGATACTACCATGAGAGATAGCTTTTCAAATAATTGCAAATTGAGAAGAAATGATAAAGCTACCACAAATAATTGCAAATTGACAAACATCTTTCCAAGTTCCACCTACATTCATGTTCCAACAACTCCATTTAAATAGAGACTTGTTAGTTAAGTTAGCATAAGTAAAGCCTAGGCTTAACTAAGATGAAGCATGGGAACATATTTAAGACCAAAGTCCAAGTGGATTTAGCTTGTGATAGCTAAAACATATTATTTATTATCTTTTTAGAGTGATTAAGCTTGGATCTTAGCACAATATCATACAATTGTTATCCCTTCACAATTATTGAGCCAAGAGGTTGATCTCCACATTGGTATGGTTCAATTGAATGATCTTGACCCCTCAAGTTTCTTTCCTTAATTATGACATAGAGTTCTCATTATCCCATACATATTCCAAAAATAAAGACTTTTCAATTGCCTAGATTTGCTACTTTTGGCAAATTTTGGGGCTAAAGGTTTCCTCTAGAAGTTTCGGAGAATCTAAAATTTCATTGGATGTAGAAATGCAGATTCCACCAATAAAGTTTTAGATTTTCAATTATTGAGATAGTTAGTCCTTCCCTTTTATAAAATGACAAAAGAAATGGATAAAATATAATTTAGGAAAGCAAATATAATTTAGAAAAGCACACAATAAGATCATTTACTTTTGATACATAAATATCACAATCACCCCATACATCAAACGTATAGTCACGCAACTAGGAGTACATCGTTTATCACAGTCTAGAAAAGTTTAATCAAATTTTTCAGGAGAAATGGCACACTCCAGCTTTATAATTTTACATTTGACAGCTTGTAGTGTTTGATCTTTATATAAAAAAAATGAAAAAAATAATAATCTCATTGTAGACAATCCCAATAACCGATTACCCCAATAATTTAAGTTCTAGAAATGGGCATATGGGAGGTTAATCAATCAAATTGGTTAATTCAAGATTTAATTTTCTTGTTGAACTTTTTCTCTTATTGGAGGCTCGAAAGCAAGCAGCACGCAACGGGAGAAATGGAGGGCCATTGTATTTACTTGGGCTCTTATGGTATTAGGAAAATTGATAAGGGCTCGTAGGTCACTCAGTCAATTCAATGACGAGTTTGAAGTAACAAAGCAACGGACCAGAACAGATTGTTGCTGATGTTAAATGATTCCTCAATAGCTTAATTACTGAACTACCCTCGTTTTTTGATTCAAGCGAAACGTAATGCAACATATTTTGGAAATGACCGAAAAATCTTTTTTAATGACCAAAATACATCTACTAAAAAAAACTTTAATGTACAAAACAAAAATGTATAAGTATTTAAATTTTATTAAGTGCAATGATAAATTACTCGAGAGCAATGGTTTAAAAAACGGATCGATGATCCGGATCGAGCTTCTAACAAACCGAACCGGATCGACGAATCGGCGATCCAGATCGGAAATCGAGTGAATCGGTCATAATAAAGCTTAAAAAAAATCCGAATAAATTATTAAAATTCATTATAAATATTGTTTTTTAGGAATTCAATAAGAAATGAGGGTACTCCATTAAGAATTTTCATGTTTTTGAATGAATATGTGAATATTGATATGTTCTTTCCCTGCATGAACTGCCATTCAGCATTTAATTTACATCACACAAAAGGATGAATATAGAATTATCATGGAATAAGTATATCAACATACATAGACTACAATAAAGCATAAAATTAGTAACATATGATCTAAAAATAAAATGATAGACGACGTTATTGTTCTTCTTGGTCATGTTGGTGCCATTGGTTGAATTTGTTTAACAATTCATTAATTCGATCTAAAAATGAATCATCGATATTAGCAGGCGTCTGACTATTCCCAAATCCCTGAGTGTTAGTGTTTTGTTGTGTTCCAAATTTAAAATCCTCGAAGATTGTCCATCCTTCATGCTCACCTACACTGTCGTGCTCATCTCTACACTGTTGTTGTTGAGACTCGATATGTGAATAATAGGCTGGGATAGGGCGGCCTCAGAATCATCATCTCTCTCATTTTCTCTTTGAATAATATGGATTAAAAAATATTAATAACAAATTTTTTAAAAAATCAATTATAGATTAAAAAAAAAATCACAAATTTTCAAAAAATTCTATCATGGATTACAAAAAAAATTCGATCATGGATTAAAAAAAAAATCACAAAGTTTCAAAAAATTCTATCATGGATTACAAAAAAAATTCGATCATGGATTAAAAAAAAAATCACAAATTTTCAAAAAAATCAATCATGGATTACATAAAATTCGATCATGGATTACAAAAAAAAACAAACAAAAAAAACAAAAAATTCAATTGTGGATTACAAAAAAGAAAAAAACAATTCGATCATGGATTACAAAAAAATTCAATCATGGATTATAAAAAACTCTATCATGGGTTACAAAAAAAC